TCTCGAAAGGTGGCTTAACTTTAATAGGTGAAAGAAGTATGGAAATACGATAATAGAATATAAAAGTAAAATAAATATATAGATTAACGTTAATTAAAATCGAATTATATATAGAAAGAATTTAGATAATCTTAGAGAAGAAGAGTAGAGAATAGTCTAAATAAAACTTAATAGATAAGTGTTATTTAGAGAGGTATATACGGAGAATTATTCTCTACTACTAAATATAAGTGCTCGGACACGAAGGCAAAGAGCGGGGTTAGGACGTAGGGATGTTGACTGTGTGTTATATTCAATCTTTGTTTAGCTCATAAGTAATGGTAAATATTACTATTTTCTCGTAGTGTCGAGTTTAGGTACGGTGTAGGTGGAATGGAATATAAATAGTGTTTCTTTGGTGACTAGGCAAATGACATCGCCATAGGAAGCCAATTTATGCCGGAACCTTCGTGCAATATGCCGTGTTCCGGCAATACATCACAAATCTGTGGTCAATGCAATCGCATTCCAGTCTACAATTCAACAAGCGAGCCTCTCGAATCTTGGTGGTTTGCGACCGGTCCAGCTGTAAGACGATATAAATTCCTCATCGGTGTGCCACTCATTCCACTTATCACCACGGTTGGTCTCAACAAGATACTTTACATGGAGAAGTTCGGAACTGAAGCCGCCAATAACTCAACGGGGACCTACGAGCTTGGCCTGATGTTACTGAATAATTACACGAGGGCGTCGAGACCCACGCATACGAAGGCGATATTTTCTGCTCTGCAGGCTTGACTCTTCCAGATAAGGCTGAACGACGGATCCATATCAGCGGGTGGGCAAATGATGCCACAAATGGCATCCGCCTCTACACCCCAGATGGTTCTGTTGGTGTATGGGTAGTGAATGACTTAGCAGCAGAATGCCAATGAACTCTCCCTCATTGTCGGCTAATGGTTATTCAACTACAATGATCATGACTAACGGACTGTTCTCATCGTCGACGGTGGGACTGGGTCAGACGGTCCCCTTGTGCTGTCCTTAGAGGCGCACCCTAATCCTGTGGGTGTTCCTGGGCCGCTGTATTGTGCCTACCTCAGTCACACTGATCCATGCAACCTCCACCCATATCTAGCAGCCCTTCCTCCTGGCAGTGTCTTCGTAAACTACAATGAGGCACGTATCCTAGGCGAGAAAACACTGCAGACTTCGCGAGTGCTTGCGACCCAATTTTCTACTTTGCGCAAGATCGTCTTGGACTTACGGGCTCCATTGGCATTTGATCTTTAATCTTTAGACAGGCTAACAGAGATTACAGATTCCGGGCGCTGTTGACACTTTTTAGCCGGTCGCTCTGGTCTCATGGAGAGTACGGCTATGTTTCTTCCCCAACATACTCCACACATATATCCTCTTGGAATCGTCATTTGTGGTGGCTCGATGACTGGTCTCGAAATTGCCCTCAACAACTGTGTCTCAATCGAATAATCCGAAATTCCGGATGCTATAGAGCGGATGCCATTCAAGCGTGTCACATCGTGTTTGGTTGCCTTGTCTAACACCACCTGCATAATCCTCAAGATTCGGCCCTGCAACGGATCTAAATGATAATGCAGTCTCATATGACCCGGACAAGCCTCCCACAACCGAATAGCAGTGATGGCTAACACAACGGTCTATCGTCTCCCCCACTCCGAAGCAACACTGGTGCTTGACGGCCACTTTTGGTGTCCGGCTCCGATCTACAAGATGTTCGCTTCCCGCACAACGAGGTGTTCATCCCTCCAATACTCCCCAAACAGAGTACGCCAACTAGGCTTATGCCGCTCGCAGGAGCCGCAACCAGGGAGTGATATCGGAAGTCACCACTACTTCAACCGGCATTAAATCGCCTCTCATGGGAATGTCAGAATATCAAGGACATGCCCAACCTCCTTTTTTTTAGCATTTAGATCTCAGGTATATAGCCAGGTGATCTCACCTTCTCAGATAGACAATCCGCAAGTTCAACCCTCTCGATCTCTGACACGGAGCCGTTTCGAACACTAGCGGGCAAAATCATGGATCTGCGAACAATGTTCCCTGCTACGAGCCGTCTGGAATGACTTGCATGGTTACTGCTTCCCTAAATCCCTATGTTTGGCCTCCAGGTTGGTATATGCCCTACGTACTTGACAATGATACTTCAAGGGTTTCGCAATGGGTCCGAATCGGAATAGTTTCTGTTGAATTGAAAAACTGGCCAAAACTGCCAGACTTTGCATAGCCAGGCATGTAAGGAATGGTCATCAAACTCATAGAAGAGTCTAGAGATTATATCGGTCAGAGAAGTGTCAATGTGCTGGCCAAGTGCGGCTGTCAAGGATCAAATTGAACTGCCAACTTTGGATGGCAAACAAGGTCGCATTCCACAGTGGGTGCCAAATTTCACTTTTATTGACCAATTACTATTCCCCTCAAGAACAGTATAAACCCCAAACATTTTAACCTTTATCGAGCGTCCGATAGAGAACAACCCTAACCAAGAAAGTTGCTGGGAAATTCTCCGATCCCTGCTGATTACTATCAACTTCTGCGGACTGTATCACCACCTAAGTTTTCATCAAGTCCCTCCACCAGAAAGAGCACTAATATCCTTTCCAATACCCTCCGCCCACGCATTGATTTCGACCCAATCTCTTGAGTCTCCAAATTTGGTCTTCTCCTTGGGTATGCAGCAGGAAATGATCACGCGCCCGAACCAGGGCAGATCCTTCTCGTTGAAGCGACCTTCAAACAACTCATGGCGACGTAGGTTTGGCAACGTCTTCCGGATTTTCTCTTCCATCATCTGCTCCTCCTTCCTCCGATCTTCTTCTTTTGGCGGCATACCAACGCTGAAAGCCCACACCGGCTTTTCTTTCAGAACGGTTGCATTATTGTGAATGAAGTGGCGGGCAGGGCTTAACCATGAACCCATGTGGATCGCGCTGCCTACGACGACAGCGGAGTAGGAGGGTAGGGATGTGACATCGACCGCATTGATCGGCGAACACTTCACCGTCGTCGAGGGACAAGATTCCCGCAGCTTCTCGGCGATGCGCTCTGCAATCTCGCCAGTCGAGCCTTTTGCTGAAGCATAGGCAACTAAAACAGACATCTTTTTGCTTGGTGTTGAATCGGATTAACAAGTATAGCTAAGTTTTATGAAGGGAAAATGTGACAGTCATATAATGCAGCTGAGTACAGTTTCGAATCTGCGTCCTATTTATTTTTCGCATTTAATGGCCGCACATACTACTGCTCTGTCAGAAGTGCCAAAAGTCCACATGACGCATGAATACGAATTTCTTAGCCCGGTAATACGTGGTGTGATGCCAACTAAAATCGGAAGACTGTAGCGTGATAATTCGTCACTCGCACCATCATACTTCTACTTGAAGTAATTCTTTCGAGTTTGGATCGTATGTTTTTCATCCCTATCCTACGACTCCTCGAACCTTGGAATCTCGTCGTATGTCACCATCTATACCGGCCTAAATTCTACTTTACGTTTCGGCAGCCTTGGCTCCACGCGCCAGCAACAACAAGTAGATTACGCCGGCAAGATATTCCATTATATATAACCTGACCGTCTTCATTTTCACTGAACTTTGGCTTCGCAAAAGTACAGCTATATCATCGATGAAACAACCAATCTTATAGTGAATTATGGCAGTGCCTCTAGTGAGTACTACCGAGTAGGAGCAACGTGTCAAAAAGATGGACATATTACTGACAACATCATCTCTGCCACTGAAAGGAAACTACACCTATTATGTCTACGCTGCAGAATGCTGGTGGGTCCCTTGGACCTTCAGCTTCAGAAAGTGTGGTGACGGATTGTGGAAAAGATTTGGCACCTAAAGATCTTGGGCGGTCATCTGTTAGTATTCCTCTTTTTGACTGAACGGAATGCTGCTGAGAGTGGTGCTTACCTTACACGAAGGAAAAGGCAGGACGCAACCCAAGCGAATGGGTTCAAAAAATACTTGAATGCTCACCAAAGCTGGAAGCTACACTATCAGATTGTTCAGACGAGATTCTCGAAGACTGCTTGTGTGATAAGATAGCATGATAGCACGATCTCGAGGGGCGGAATAGAGCAGTAAATGGCTCAAATTTCTCTGTTCAATGTCTTAACATTTCCTACGTGCAGTGAATGGCTTTGCGTATTTCGATCAGAGTTGAACATTTCACGACCCTGGCTTTATGTCAGCGCACAACCCAGTGTTGAAGGGGTTCTATTCCGTACGATGGCTCTTCGGCACAGCCATAGAGCTCCTACAAGGTGTACATGACCGCTCTCAAACCCAACAACTTAACATCTTCAAAATGAGGGCCCACTTCTTTTATGTGTCAAGGAATCTTTCAGGAGGTTTCTCCTTAGCTATTAACACACATAGAATGATTTCACATTCAGACATGTCAGACCTTTTGCAAACATTCTTACGCAGTATTAGCGGCCCTTCAAACAGCTAGACTGCTCCGGTCACGTTTTCGAAAGGACTGAAATCATCCTCAGGCAAGTGGTAGGTGCGATCGTGTGCTTCCCATGTTTGTCCTCCGTCCGGCAGGTGACGATTATGGGGTTTGGAAAACTTGGGAATATCGTACATGCCGCCGGGGTCCGTGCCATGTTTGACGATGAACTGGTCGACTTTTGCTCTTTCGTGCTGAACGTGCGCAACGAGCTTTTGAAGGTCTACTGCAACATGCGGATTGCATTTCGCAGCGCCACGGAGGGCTGCTTCGGCGATATGATACCGGCTGCACTTGTTTCGGAGAAGAGTCTGAAATGGAGTGGTGGCTCCGAATTCGTTCTGGAAGGACGAGATGGAGACTCTGTCCAGTTTCGGTCTCCCAAAAAGTAATCCCTGTAGTTCATTGGCGTAACCGTGATAGGTAAAATGGATTTCTCTGTGTGGGGTGAATAGCGTGTCGAAATCGCGGTCGCTCAAAGCATGGGGATGAGATCCTTCGCGACCTAGTATCATTATATCGGTAACATTGACCACGCGCAGAGATAGAGAAGATGCAAGTTTTCGTAGATACGCCGCTGCTGCAACGACCTCGAAAGTTGTGTCTGCTCCAACTCCAACGAGCACCACATCTGGATCGATACCATCATCGGTGCTGGCAAATTTGAAGACACCTCCCCCGGCTCTGCTATGAATTTCTGCTTCCTCTGCACTCAGCCAAACAGGGCCTGCGTGTTCTGAGGCCACGATGAGATTGACGTAATTTCGTGATCTCAAACAATGAGCCAATGTTGAGAGGAAGACGTTCGCGTCAGGTGGTAGATACACCCTTCCAATGGTGGGTCTCAGGTTCAGCACGGCACCAATGAAGCTTGGGTTCTGATGTGACAAACCATTCGGCTCAGGTCGAGTCCAAGTACTGGTAGTAACGTAATTCAGGCTGCTGACATCTTTGCGCCAGGGGATATTCCTCGACATCCGCAGAAACTTGCTGTACTGGGTCATCATCGTAGCAATGACAGGGAAACGACTCTCATCGGCTGCAATAATCCCGGTCCGGCCTGTGATGGTGTAACCTTGTATCAAAGCTAAACGATTCGTTGTCAGTGAGGGCACAAAGTCCAAGACAATGGGTGAGCGTACCTTGGCAGGTGTGTTCGGACGCGAACTCTATCACTTGTCCGCTCTTGTCGATTCTCGCTCCGTCGCACTGGAAACTGCGGAATGTGCGGTTTGATATCCTGTCGAGTCTCTGACTGACGACGTTATCCGGAGAAAATATGCGCAAAGAGTTTCTGTTCAATGAGAGTGTCTCATCGAGATAGACAGCTGCAGCCTTGAGGAAACTGTGATGGTTCCCTTTTGCTGCAGCAAAATGTCTCCATTCAGGCACATCCAGACGATGGTGGACATCCCATGTCAGACGGTTTTGCCCTAAGCGCAGCTTCTCATTTGGTGGTAGAATGTTTTCGATTTCTTGACATATTGATCCTTCTGGGAGAACCTCCCCTGGCTGGTAGGATTTCAACCACTCTTGGAGATGCTGGAGCTCTCCTTGATGTATTTTGGCGCGCGGTAAGAGGACTTCATGGCCATGGAACGAACCTGCGAAGTGCTCTCCCGGGGCCAAGTGTGGGTAGCCCCAACCTTCTGGTATTCTGAGAATAATCATGGGCCATCGGGGTTTGTCGTTCGATGAGCCGGCTTGTGCATCAATCTGGATGTTTTGGATTGACTCTACAGCCCATGACAAGGCTGTATTGAGTTCACGGTCAATATCATTGATGTCGTCCACAATGCATGGCTCATAACCATATCCTGCAAAAAGACAGCAGAGCTCGGAATTGTCCATTGATCCAAAAATTGTCCTTCCACCACTCTTGAAACCTTTCAGATACAGGATTGGCAAGACAGCCCCCGATTTCTTGGGGTCAATATACCGACACATATGCCATGCACTTGTGCTGTTAGTGCTGAGATTATTGCTGAAGGGAGAGACTTACGTCGCAGTAGGCCCGCTTTCAGCTTCACCGTCACCTACCACTACCACACTAATCAAATCCGGGTTATCCATGACGCAGCCGAACGCCGTTCCAAGAGCGTGTCCCATCTCTCCGCCTTCATGAATACAGCCTGGAACTCCGGCATTGACATGACTAAGAATGAGTTAGTCCACCAGGTTCCCTTACCATGCTCGGGGACACCTCACCTTGGGAACCCTCCAGGAACGCTGAAACTAGTAACCAAATTATAAAGACCTTTCTTGTCTCTGCTATAGCGCGGGTAGAAGCGCTCCAGGGACCGTTCCAACCATAGGCAAGCGAGGATAGCAGGAACAGCATAGTTAGGTCCAACGAGCAAAATCACTTGCTGGTCGTACTTCTGAATGATAAGATTCAGATGTGCAAAAATCAAAGTAATTCCAGGCGAGATGCCCCAGTAGCCTTTTTTCAGTCATTATCAATTGCAGAAGGATACCACTCGAAGGACTCACCGATAGTATGTTTAATGTCGTCGTGAGCAAGGTCGCGCTCAAGAAGAGCATTGTCTCGGAGGAAAATCATCGCCATAGGCTTGTCAGTATGAGCACCATGATTTCGCTAGTTACTCACCAGCAGAAACGTAGTCAGCGGCCCTTCGAAACTTGATCAAGTGATCGGCAGTCTTGAAATGCAATGGATCAGGGTACAAATTCTTCCCCATCTCCAAGGCACATATCGGGAGTTGCGACAAAGGCATCGGGCTTGATGGTTCTTCGTTCGAATCTGAAGCCATATTGTAATGAATTGATGGGACGCTTCAAGTTTGATATGTACAATATGTTGTCCAACAAAATCTCATAGAGCTTAATACTGAATTGGCGGGTGAGCTCGAAACTTACATGGTCTTCGGGGGCAGACCTACCAACAATGCACTTTATTAAAAGGACAATGTTCTTGCTCAGTCACGGGATCCTCTTGATCTTAAGACTATCGCTCTCGTTCAATCTACTGGTTAAGGTGGTGTGAGGAATAACAAGACGAATAAGAACTCTGCCTGTTCGGAGTCAGAGGTTTTTGCGCAGTGCCAATTAGAATTCTTTGCCTCACACCACCATCGTAAGCTACTCCACACTTTTAAGGCATGCAGATGGTACTGTCATTAGTGGCGAGTAATTGGTCGAGATACATAAATGTCTGGAGGTTTGCGCATCCGATGTAACAAGTAAGGTTACCGGAATGCTGCTTTTGACGCAGTGGCATGGAATCTTGCAGAAGCGGATGCTGAAATGAGGCGATTCTCTTCGTGCATTGGTAGGCGAAGCTTGTCGTTCCATATCGCCACAGATCCCCCTTGTCTAGTCAGCCTCGTTCAGCCTCGCATAGAATGTTTCAGTGGCGTCCCAGCTGAGGATACCTACAAGTACATGGTAGAGTCCGACCACCCGTCCTAATCCTACTTGCTCGGAAAGGAAATCAAGCACGTTCTTTGTCTTGCCACCCACCCTTCCTGTTCCATTTTAAAGTACCTGTTATCTGGTGCGATTCGAGCCTGTGTTCACGCAAGAACTGAGCCCTTTCCATTGACCCAACAAAGACGCAAAATCAGCGGAATACCCTAATGATATTTCCAACTTGAAATAAAAAAAATCTATTGTAAT